GCAGCAGCAGCAGCAGCAGCAGCAGCAGCAAGGCAGTGGCGCAGCAGCAGCACTTGAAATGGAGTTTCTTCGGCTTCGGTGTCTCTCCCGTGCAGGGCAGCTGCTGATGGAAGGTCTTCGCTACGTAGCAGCAAGCCGCAGCAGCAGCAGCAACAGTAGCAGCAGCGCTGTTGCTGCTGCTGATGCTGCGTGGGAACATCAGCGGCTGCTGCTGCTGCGCCGCCTGCAGGGAAAGCTGCTGCGGTGTCACATGAGCCTCGCCCAGCTGCATCTTTCTCGGTTGCGTGTCGACGCAGCAGCAGCAGCAGCAGCAGCAGCAGCAGCAGGCTCTGGCGATGCGGAAGTTCAGCGAAACGCTGACCCCAGCAGCAGAAGCAGCAACAGCAGCAGCATCAGTGCTATTTTATCTGAGTTGGAAGGCGCCGGGAGGGGCCTCCGTCACCTGCTGCTGGCGTCTTGCTTCATACGTCCTTGCGAGGGCAGCAGCAAGAGCAGCAGCAGCAGCAGCAGCTGCAGCTGCTGCAGCTGCTGTGGCGGGCTGGGGGACGCAGACAGCGCGCTGCTGTATAAGTCTGTTTACTTGTCGGTGGCTGAAGTGTTTGTGGTGCTTGCCCAGGCACTGCTGAGCTCGAAGCAGCAGCAGCAGCAGCAGCAACAGCAGCAGCAGCGGGCAGCTGGTGCTGCGGGGGGTCCAGTCACTGACGTTGCTGCTGCTGCTGCTCTTTTCGAGGCCATCGGGAGAGACCTGGATGCTTTACCAGCTTGGTGTGCGCCTCTTGTGCAGTGCAGCAGCAGCTGCATGGGTGCAGCAGCAGCAGCAACAGCAGCTGCTGCCAGCAACAGCGGCAGCAGCAGCAGCAGCAGCGGTGGCAGCAGCCATGCCCTCTGGGGGCCCCCGCTGCTGCCCTGCTGCTCCGCTACTGTGCCGCCGGACAAGGAGCTGCTGCTGAACAACGGGGTGGCTTTTTGCTTGCGGGTGCTGCAGCAGCAGCAGCAGCAGCAGCAGCAGCGAAAGCACAGCTCGAGCCCCCGTCGCTACAGCCCTGGCACGAAGTCAGCGGACAGCAGCAGCAGCCACCAGCAGCAGCACGACGGGCAGCAGCAGCAGCAGCAGCAGCACCTGGAAAGGTGCCTAGACACCCGAGCGCAGCAGCTGATGGCAGCAGCTTACACAGCACTGGGGTGTCTGTACACCTCAACTGGCAGGCGAACTCGAGCGCTCATTCATGCCAAACAGGTTTGTCACTTTTAATTATTTAAAAGCATTAAAAATAGAATAGTTTGACTTCTTTGCATTCTCTGCTGTTGCTGCTGCTGGTACTGCTGCTGCTGCAGGGAGCAGCACTGTTTGCTGCTGTGGGGGACGCCATTAGTGCTGCGCGCATGCAACTGCTGCTCAGCTGCATGAAGCTGCACCCACTGCTGCTGCCGGGCAAGCAGCAGCAGCAGCAGCAGCAGCAGCACCAGTGCGATCTAGATCCCCCTACTATTGCTGCTACAGTTGCATGCAGCAAAGGCCGCTGCGACCCTCAGCAGCAGGAGCTAATGCAGCAGGAGCTGCAGCTTCTGCAGCGGCAGTTGGCGTCTCTAGAGTCGATAGGGAACGAGCACGCAGCAGCAGCTGCTGCAGCAGCAGCAGAGGCGGAAGACGAGTTCTTTCAGCCGAAGCAGCAGCAGCAAGCTGCAGCAACCGCAGCAGCAGCAGCGGCAACAGCAGCAGCAGCAGCAGGACTTGCTGACGAATGCCGCTGTCTGATGGCAGCCTTGCATTTGCGCTTAGCGGAGCAGGATCTGCTGCACGCAGCAGCAGCAGCGGGAGCAGAAGCAGCAGAAGCAGCAGCAGCAGCTGCTGCTGCTGCTGCGAGGATTACAACAGCAGCATGGAGGCCCAGTGCTGCACCATGCGAGACAGCAGAGCTTCTGGCTGTCGTGTCTGTGCTGCTGCTGAGCAGAACTAGCCTCAGCAGCAGCAGCAGCAGCAGCAGCAGAAGCATGCTGCAGCAGGGCGTCGGAAGCAGCTGCTGCCTCATAGATAAGGACAGGCTGCAGCAAGCACAGCAGCACATTGACAAGGCACTGCAGCTGTCTTCTGCGAATCCCCACAATGCGCTGCAGCAGCAGCAGCAGCAGCAGCAGCTGCTGCTGCTGCGTGAGGGTCTGCATTGTCTGGCAACTGCAACTCTTGCAGCATCCTTGGCGCTTCCTCTGTATGAGGAATTCCAGGAGCAGCAGCAGCAGCCGCAGAAGCAGCAGCAGCAGCGGCGCCACAGAGGACGCTTGCTGCAGGTAGTGGGACGAAGGCTGGAGGAGGCGCAGCAGCAGCTGCAGCAGTGGCTCCTGGTTTGGGGTGGGCCTCACTGGCAGCAGCAGCAACAGCAGCAGCAGCAACAGCAGCAGCAGCAGCAGTATGCGCAGCAGCTCTTTGAGCGGGCGTACAGCTCCTTCGCTGGCTGCTGCTGCGCTTTAGGCGCAGTGAGAGCAGCCCAGGCGGGGAAGTGGAAAATATGCCAGCAGCAGCAGCAGCAGCAGCAGCAGCAGCAGCAGCAGCAGCAGCAGCAAGCGTTGCATGCTATTCGGGCGATTGCGGGGATCGGCATGCTGGTAGTACCTTTCCTAGCGAGCAGCAAGTGCAACCGCAGCAGCAGCAGCCGCAGCAGAATGTTGCTGCTGCAGCAAGACGCGGTTGCTGCCCGCGCTGCAGCGGATGAGGCAGTGACTCAGGTTTTGCTGCCGCCAGCAGTGGCTGCTGCAGCAAGCTCGCTGTTGCTGCTGCTGCATGCATTTGTCGCAGCAGATGGCAGAATCAAAGCAGCTGGAGAAGGACGAGCAGCAGCAGCAGCAGCAGCAGCAGCAGGACAAGTCACTTCGCGCCGCAGCAGCCTCAGCTGTGCTGTGGCCAGCAGCATCCTCGCAGACCTGCAGCAGCAGCTGCTGCTGCTGAACCCGGAAACAGCACGCAGCGCAGCAACAGCAGCAGCAGCAGCAGATACAGCAGATGCCAGCTGTGCAGCAACGGGTTCCTTTAGCAAGCGTTTGCTTCTTTTGCAGCAGCACCAGCGGCAGCAGCAGCAGCAGCAGCAGCAGCAGCAGGCGCTGCTGCTGAATGCATGCTTCCAGTTGATTTCTTGCGACGCAGACTCTGAGCAGGCTGCTCCAGAGTAACAGCGGCTGCTGCTGTTGCTGTTGCTGCTGGGCATTACTGCAACGGCAGCTGCAGCAGCAGCAGCAGCAGCTGCCGCTGCTGCTGCAGCAGCAGCAGCAGCTGCTGCTGCTGCAGCAGCAGCAGCAGCAGCAGGCCGTGGAGACCGTGTCTGATCTCTCCGTTTAATTTTAAGTAACACCAGCTGCTGCAGGTCTTGGTGAGAAGAAGCAGCAGCTACTGCAGCAGCAGCTACTGCAACAGCAGCAGCAGCAGCAGCAGCCTTCCGTTGGCAGCACGCAGCACAAGATCTTATTGTGTTGCATTGCCTTTGGCGTGCCTTTCGAGTGTATGGGCAGCTGAAGGCAATCAAGAAACCCTTGCAGGTCTCTTGTCTCTAGGGTTTAGGGTTTGGGGTTTAGGGTTTAGCCTTCAAGGTTTAGGGTTTAGGGTCTAGATTTCAGGGTGTGGGGGTTGAAGGCCTAGCTTTCGGGGTTTAGGGTTTAGGGTTTGAGTTTAGCCTTCAGGTTTTAGTGTTTAGCCTTCGCGCCTTTAGGGTTTCGGGCTTAGGGTCGAACCTTTAGGGCTTAGCACTTAGGGTTTAGGGTCTAGTCTTCAGGGTTTAGGGTTTACAGTTTAGTCCTTAGGGTTTACGGTTTGAGTGGCACTTTGCATGCAGCGCACCCGCATGCATGCAGAAGCAAAAACGCCTCGTACATATTCATATTTGCCCCTACATTTTGTGTGAATAGCTCTAAATGTGCATTTTAATGCATTATTCGAGTTTTATTTTTGAACACTTTTATATTTTATTTATAATTTTTATATTTTTTATTTTCTAGAGTTTCTCAAGAGAACCTCCAGGCGGCAGCAGACTGAAGCTGTGCTGTTCCTTGTGGGCTCGAGGCCGCTCGGGAGTTTAGGGTTTAGGGTTTAGGGTTTGCGGGAAATTGGCTGAGGAGCAAGCCTGCTAAGCAGCAGCAAATAGTAAATTGAAGCATTAAGAAGTAAATTGAAAAGAAATGAATTAATTAAAGGCAAAAGGAGTGGCTAGGGGTAGGTGAGGGAAGTTAAGCCGCCGCTCCAGGCGGACGCCGTGAGCGAGCGGCAGCGCCTAGGTGCAATAAATGGGACTTTTTTGCTTGTAAAAGCCATTTATGAGTTTAACTTTATCAAAATTGAAGGAACTTGGGAATAAACATTCCAAACAACGTGCGGAGCGTCGAAAAGTGCCGGTTTTCTGCGAAGATCGCCGCAGCCACAAAACCCAGCCCCAGCGCTGAAAAGCGGCTGCTGCTGCTGCTTCTGAAGCCCCTGTTGCTGTTTCCCCAGTTTTAGCAAAAGACTTTAATCGACTGCAGAAGTATTTAATTTAAATTGTCTGTGTTTTCGCAAAAACTCGAGGGGTTCTGCCGGAGCCGGTCTTCGGGAGCCGATGCGCGCCTTGGGTGAAAGACTGCGCCCCGGCAAAGAGGATTCTCTGGTTTTTCTCCGTTTAATTTCTTTTAATTTTGTTTAAAAGATATTTTTTGTTCTTTTTTCTCGATTGCGCGTCTCGCGGAGTCGGGAGCTTCCCGGGCGCCGGTGTCGCCGCCCTCCGCAGACCCGCTGCTTTTTGGTGTTTTCGCATCTTTTCTTCTTTTTGGCCGTTTAAAACGGAATTTAAACCAATTACTCCTTTTAGATCTCTTTTTACCTTCCATTTTAACTCCCGAAGCAGTTTAAAGCCGCTTTCCATCCCGCGATCCCGCCGCCGCCGCCGCCGTTCAAGTTCAATTCAAGATCGAGCCGCGTTCCAGTTCCAGTTTTGATTCCGAGTTTGTCCCGCGTTTGTCTTGCGAATTGGAATTGGCTTTGCAATTCAAATAGGACTTCGAATTTGAGTTCAATTCCGAAAAATTCAAATTCAAATTCAAGTTCAAATTCGAGTTCAAGTTCCAGTTCAAGTTCGCCTGCGCAGAATGGCTGCAGCTGCAGCCGCCGCCGCCCCGGCCAGCGATTCGCTGCGGAATTCGGGGGAAAGCGAAGCAAAAAGTGGCAAAACTGCAGCAGCAGCAGCAGCAGCAGATCGCAAGTCTTTTGATAAAGAACAGAAGCAAAAAAATGAAGCTTTCTGGAGAAACTTGCTGCAGGAAATCGGGGTGCAGCAGCAGCAGCCGCCGCCGCCGCCCAAGACTTGGAAAGACAAACTTGCCTGTGAGATCTTTTCATCTTTTGCTTTCTTTTGTCTTTTAATCCATTTCATCCTTTTATCTATTTTATTTATTTTATATATTTACTTTTATTTATTTGCTGCTTCGTCCTTGTAGTCCTTTCCTGTTGTCGTTTGGCTTCGTTCTAATGTGCTGCTTCTCACTGCTTAGTTGTTCCCCTCTTGCTGCTGCTGTTGCAGCTGTTGCAGCTGTTGCTGCTGTTGCTGCTGTTGCTGCTGTTGCTGTTGCTGTTGCTGTTGCTGTTGCTGTCAGACGGGTTTCTTAATCCTCGCTGCAGCTCTGTTGAATTCCTCCAAATGCATTTTCTTTTTCTACACCCTAAACAACTAAACTCTGAACAACCAAGCCCTAAACTGCTAAACCCTAAAGCACCAAACCGTAGACCACTAAACCCTACACCACTCAACCCTGGAGAGATTAGGGTTTGACTCAAACTCTAGTGTCTTTGTTTTGCTGCAGGCTTTGGCTTTGTCTGCTTAGCGGCGTTGGTGGCCTCAGAAGTGCGTCCAAGGGTTTAGGGTTTAGGGTTTAGGGTTTAGGGTTTAGGGTTTAGGGTTAGAGGAGGAGGCAGAAGGACTCCTGTTCAGTGAATGCGGGCACTGTACTCTGTGCACAATTTCCGGGTTGGAGTTTAGGGTTTAGGGTTTAGGGTTTAGGGTTATGTGTTGCAGTTCGGCTATCGCATGTACATGGACTACAACTACGGCTTTGAAACAATTGACACTTCTGACGCGCAGATGCTAAAAGGTGCGTTGCTTCTCTTCCCAAACTAGGGTTTAGGGTTTAGGGTTTAGGGTTTAGGGTTTAGGGTTTAGGGTTTAGGGTTTAGGGTTTAGGGTTTAGGGTTTAGGGTTTGGCTGTGTGCTGCAGAGGTGATGTTCGGAGGGAAGCCGTGGATGGTCTTATGCAGGTGGCCCCACAAGCGCTCGTACGTCTCCGTTGCGGGTCCCTTTCGGGTTGCGGGTTTCGGGTTTAGGGTTTAGGGTTTGTGGTTTGTGGTTTGTGGTTTGTGGTTTGTGGTTTGTGGTTTTGCAGGAAGGTCCCGGACGCCATCAACCGGAGCCGCATCGAGTTGCTCAAAGTGTTGCGGATGGGCCGGCTAGACTGTGCAGGTACCCCCCCTGCCCCAACCCTAAACCCTAAACCCTAAACCCTAACCCCTAAACCCTGCCCCTCCCGCAAGCAAACCCCCTCCCCGGCACACCGCACCGCACCGCACCGCACCGCACCGCACCGCACCGCACCGCACCGCAGCAGCAGCAGCAGCAGCAGCAGCAGCAGCAGCAGCAGCAGCAGCAGCTTGCGTGCGCGCAGCGGCGCTGCCGAGCGGAGTGCGCTTCGCCGAGCGCTTCCGCATCCCCAGCAGCAGCGAGGGTTTTGTGGTGGCCAACGGGAAGGCCCCGCGGCTGCTGACGGCGTGGGCGCTGCAGTCCGCGGAGCAGCTGCTGGCCTACGTGCAGCGACACGCGAAACTCGACTTCCGCAGCGTCGACGACGTCCGAGGGTTTAGGGTTTAGGGTTTAGGGTTTGGGGTTGGGGGTTGGGGGTTGGGGGTTGGGGGTTGGGGGGTGGGGGGTGGGGTGGGGTGGGGTGGGGTGGGGGTTTGGTGGGGTGGGGGTTTGGTGGGGGGGGGGTTTGGTGGGGGGGGGGTTTGGTGGGGTTGCGACAAACCCTGAATTAGGGTTTGCGTTGCGGGCGTTCAGAACGGGTCTTTGGGCCGGCGCTGCTTGCTGCCGGCGGGCTCGCGGTGTTTGTTTTTGCTGCGCTATAAAGGCATTTCCACCACCGAAAGAAATAAACAAATCCAAACACTCTTTGCAAACATCCACCCTGCAGTTCGCAAACTCAAGTTCGCCGTTCTGGACTCCCACAAACACCAGGTTAGGGTTTAGGGTTTAGGGTTTGGGGTTCGGGGCGCGCGGGCCGCGCGCCCGGCAGACGCGCTGGGCGATGTCGTGGCTGCATTTGCAGCAGCAGCAGCAGCAGCAGCGGTTTCAGCTTTTGCTGCTGTCTTGGACTTCGAACCAAAATAAATGAACTAAATTCAATGAATATATACAGTGAAAGTAATGCTTCGAAATTGCTTTTGAGCTTTTGTTTTTTGTTCCGCCTTCGGGGTGTATGTACAGCTGAACCTGCATGGCGCAGCTCCTCTTGCTGCTGCTGCTGATCCTTCAGAGACGCAAATTGTTTGCTTCCTTAATACCACAAAAAGTGAGGCTTTCGTTGCTGCTGCTGCTGTTGCTGCTGCTGTTGCTGCTGTTGCTGTTGCTGCTGCTGCCTGTTGCTGCTGCTGCAGATTGTTTGCTTCCTTAACACCGAAAAAAGTGAGGCTTTCTTTGCTGCTGCTGCTGCTGCCTGCTGCCTGCTGCGTTGTTCTTTGGGTTCGGGGCTTTTCATTCATTACCATTGGCAATTCTTTTGAACAAATTCAATTCTTTTGCATTAATTTTAATTATTTTTAATTAATTTGAATTAATTAAATTAAATTTGCTTTTTTGTTTTGAACAGGAGAGCAGCAAGAAGAGCTGCGGAGGAAAGATGATCTTTCCAAACACTCCTTCGCTGTTTCTGTCTTTGAAGGTAATTCAAATTATTTAATTTATTTAGTTTAATTTATTTAATTATTTAGTTTCTTTAATCTATTTAATCTAATTTATTTTGTTTATTTAATTTATTTTATCTTGATTTAATTTTATTTCGTCTTGTTAAATTTGACTTTATTTTATCCAACTCAGATTGGTAAATTTGTTTTATTCAATTTATTTTTCCAATATGATATTTTTTTATTTTTAGGTTCTTTTCAAGACACTGCAGCAGTTCAGGCCTTCGCCTCGCGCTGCGCTTCTGCTGCTGCTGGTGGGTTTGCTGCTGCAGAAAATTGCATAAAGTGAATTAAAGAAGAATGGACTTATTCAATTAATTAAACTGCAATTAACTTAATTAATTAATTTAATTAATTAATTTAATTAATTAATTTAATTAATTAATTAAATTTGTTGTTTTGGGACTTTGCTGCAGACACAGAGGGCTTCGTCGCCATGCAGCAGCACCCCACAGTGCGCCGAGTGCAGCAGCAGCAGCAGCAGCAGCAGCAGCAGGGGGAGGACCAGAAGCAGCAGAAGAAGCCGAAGAAGAAGCAGAAGAAGCAGAAGCGCAAGCGGCAGCCGAAGCAGCAACAGCAGCAGCAGTAGCTGCAGCAGCGCCGCAGCTGTTGCTGCTGCAGCGTTGCAGCAGCAGCGCGGCAGCAGCAGCGCGGCAACAGCAACCGCTGCAGCAGCAGCAGCAGCAGCAGCAGCCACTCTGCCTAGCAGCTAAGATTGTTAACAGCTGCCCCTAGCAGGCAACAGAGGTAGCGCTGCTGTTTTATTTTGGGTTTGTTTGGGGCTTGCTGCTGCATGCAGCTGCTCTTTATTTTTTAGCTTTTTACTTTTTAGCCTTCAACCCTTCATTTTAATTCTTCTGAATTTCTTGTTTAATTAAAAAGTAATTAATTGATTAATTAAAAACTAATTAGTTAAAATGCAGAAAAGACTTCTTATGAGCTCTAAAAGAAAAGAAACACACTAGTTGCAGCTGCTGCAGTGCCAGCTACTGCAGCAGCAGCTGCTGCAGCGGTAGCAGCAGCAGCAGCTGCAGCGGCAGTAGCACCAGTGGCAGAGGCAGCAGCGGCAGAAGCAGCAGTAAGGCTGGGGGCCCGGATGTGTGGACATATCTTATATTGTTGACATAAATGTTATTTATTTTTAATTGTTTGGGAGGTTTGACCTCCAAATTAATTTGTTTAGTTTAAAAAGGCCGGAGGCGAGTTAAAATGGCTGCGGATGTGCCGATACACCCGAAAAGCAGCGAGGTGTCTATACACCTGGGAAGCAGCGGGGTGTCTGTACACCTGAAAACGCAACGATTTCGATTTAAATGTAATTTATTTGTTTTTATTTACAAATGAAAACAAATTCAATTATTTTTAAGCCGCTAATGACGCAAAAACGAGAATAAAACCCGAAGAAACTTCGGTGCTGCGCCAGACGAGCCGGCGCGGCAGTTCCCGGAGTGGCAGCAGTTTAGGCGAGAAAGTTTGAATTTGAATGGATTTTAAAATAAAAACTAAATCAAATGAATAAATTAAATTAAAATAAAATTAATTAATTTAATTTAATTCGTTTGAGCGCTGGTTTTCCGTTGAATGCAACCTACACGCTGCCCGGTTGACTCCTGCATGCGAAAGCCCCAATGAGCAACTAGGGTTTAGGGTTTAGGGTGTAGGGTTTAGAGTCTTTAGACTTGAGGGAAAACTAAAAGAGAAGAAGGAACTTCGTTTTATATTTGCTGTCGTCGGGCAGAGGAAGCTGTCGCCGCCTTCTGATCCGTGCTCGAGGGTTTAGGGTTTAGGGTTTAGGGTTTAGGGTTTAGGGTTTCTGCGTTGGCCTGGCTTCTTTTTTGTATCCCTCCCGTCCTACCAACGCCAGCTTGTCAGCGGTTAGCTGAGTCTTCGGGCCAAACCCTAAACCCTAGTTCGTGGTTTACGCAGTGCAGAAAGCCCAGGTTTCAGGGTTTAGGGTTTAGGGTCTAGGGTTTAGGGTTTAGCCATTCAAAATGACGACAGCGCATAGGCCCACGTGGCATACCGCCTTAGGAGGGGAAAACCAAGGAGGGAACCGGCTGGCGCACGCAACGACAAAGGCAAGCTAGGGTTTAGGGTTTAGGGTTTAGGGTTTCGGGTTCAGGGTTTAGGGTTTAGGGTTTACGGTCTAGGGTTTAGGGTTTAGGGTTTAGGGTTCGGGTTGGTGTTTGCGTTGGGGGGCTGAGTCCGAGCATTTGGGGTTGAGGGCGAGTTGGAGACCTGCAGGAGAGGGTCGAGGGTTTAGGGTTTAGGGTTTAGGGTTTAGGGTTTAGGGTTTAGGGCTTAGGGTTTAGGGTTTGCGTGCAGCGATCTGCGCGGGACCAGCCCGGAGAACTGACTCTGAAAAAAAGGGTTTTTGAAAATCTTCCGAAGTCCAGAAAAGAATTCGCCGAAGAATTAAACAAATCCGAAAAAACCCTCAAAGGCCAGCAAAAGAAGAGCCTCTTGTGAGCCTAAAACCCTGAATTAGGGTTTAGGGTTTAGGGTTCCGGGTGGAGGGTTTAGAGTTCGGCAGCGCGGACAAGTACAAGAGCTAGGCGCATCATTCAATTCAAATTCTTTTATTTATTTGCATATTTAATTAAATTAAATTAATTTAATTTAATTTATTTAACTTAATTATTTAATTTATTTTTTTTAATTAAATTAAATTAATTAAATTAAATTAAATTAATTTATTATCTAATTTCAAATTCCCCCTTTTGTGGTTTTGCTTCTGCTGCTGCAGGACCCTCACTACGATGCCAGGTGCTGCTCTCTTCATCTTCAGCAGTTTTTAATTTAATTTAATTAGTTAATTTAATTTAATTAATTTAATTAATTTAATTTAATTTAATTTAATTTAATTGTTTATTAGATGACCAATTTCATTGTTAATTTTTTATTTTATTTCGCTGGGTTAGTTGCAAGTGATGTTGCCACTGGGAAGCAGCAGCAGCACTAGGGTTTAGTGTTTAGGGTTTAGGGTTTAGGGTTTGGGGCTTGGGAAGGTCTCTGCAAGGGCTGCTGCTGTCCGAGCTGCTGCTGGTGTTGCTCCTGCTGCTGCTCCTGCTGCTGTTGTTGCTCCGTTGCTGCTGCGGTTGCTGCTATTCGTGCTGCTGCTGCTGTTGCTGCTATTTGTGCTGCTGCTGCTGCCGCTGCTGCTGCTGCAGAGGTTGAGAACCCTTTCCCTGAAGACGCAGACGACGTGGAGTCGGCGAAGCCGGGAGCAGCAGCAGCAGCAGCAGCAGCAGCAGCAGCAAAAGACTCCGACGGCGAAGCTTCTTCTTCAGAAAGCAGCGACGAAGAAGAAGCAGAATTGCTGCGGGAGTTGGAGAAGATTAAAAAAGAAAGAGCTGAGAGAGAAGCAGCAGCAGTCCGCCAATTTGCTGCTGCTCCTGCTGTTTTGCTGCTGCTGCTTTTGCTGCTGCTGCTGCTGCTTTTGCTGTTGCTGCTTTTTTTGCTGCTGCTGCTTTTGCTGCTGCTGCGTTTGTTGCTGCTGCTGCTGCTGCTGGTGGTTTTTCAGCGGCTGGTGCTGCTTCTGTTGCTGCTGCTGCACTTCCTGCTGCTGCAGCTGCTGGGTTTGCTGGTGCTGCTGCTGCTGCTGCTTGTGTTCAGGCCCGGGCGCTGGAGCAGCAAAAAGCAGCAGAGCAGCAGGAGCGAATGCTGCGGGCCAATCCGCTGCTGCTAAACCCTAATTCAAACCCTAGCGACACAGCAGCAGCAGCAGCAGCAGCAGATGGCGCAGCAGCAAAACCCCTCGTGAGAAGATGGGATGATGAAGTTGTTTTTAAAAACCAGGCGAAGAACTTAACCACTCCGAAGAAGCAGTGAGTTTTATTTAATTTAATTAATCTAATTAATTTAATTAATTTAGTTAGATCAATTAATTAATTGATTAATTAATTAATTTGTTTGTTTTGTTTTTATTCTTTGTTTTGCCTTTTCTTATTTGCTCATTTCCTTTTAACTGTCAGCAGTTTGCCTTCTTCGTTTCCTTTTTTTTTGTTTCTGCTGCTGCTGCTGCTGCTTTTGCTGCTGCTGCTTTTGCTGGTGCTGCTGCTGCTGCTTCTTCCGCTACTGGTGCTGCTGCTGATTTGAATGCTGCTGCTGCTGCAGCAGGATTGGCGTTTCGTTGCTTGGTAAAGCCAATTTAGGGTTTAGGGTTTAGGGTTAGGGTTTGTTGTTTGTTGCTGCAGCTTCATAAACGACCCTGTGCGGAGCGAATTTCACAAGAAGTTTCTGCAGCGCTACGTGGACTAATTTTGGAAATATAAATTCATTTATTGTTATTTATTTATTTATTTTGTTGTTTTTTATTCTAATTTAAATAAAATAAATAAATATTCGATAAATGGTGGCTTGTCGCGCGCGCCAGCTGCTGCGGCGCGCTTTCTGAGGTGTACGTACACCTGAGGTGCACGTACATCTGGGTTGTACGTACACCTGGGGTGTACGTACACCCCAAATTTTCGCCTCTTTTTCGAATTCACAATTGCCATTCCAGTTATATTTTCGATTAATAATTGCAGTTAAGACTTCAATTGCAATTATAATTGCAATTGGAACTGAATGCAAAAATTCAAATTTATATTCCGCTTTTGTACCTTCTCGCATTCGGGTGTACGTCCACCTCGGAAGACAAAAACCAGACTGGGAAG